CAGCAGTTCGAAACTGCCAGCTGTTCCGCGGGAGACAGATGAGGCATTCTGCTCCCGTAAAGATTTACAGCCTTGGAAACCCTGTACAGGGTCACTATGAGTCGGAACCGACTCCACGGCACTTAACAACAACATAAACCAAATCTTAGTACTCTAAGCAGTAAACCCAAACCCATTGCTGATAAGGTGAAGCTTAGGTGCCAACCTTGTGTTAAGTGCATTTGAGTCCATTCCAGAGAGTGACTGGTGAGTTTGAACCACCAACCTTGATGTTCAAATTGACCTGCTGGTCCAGTGCTTTATTTTACAGCACCACACCACACCACAATTCCAGTGACCCTATGTTGTTGTTGCTAAGTGCCATCAAGTCGGTTCCGACCCAAAGCGACATAGAGTTTCCAAGGAGCAGCTTAGTGAGCTTGAACTGCCAACCTTGCAGTTAAATGGCTTTGCAGTCTGGCGCATTAACCCACAGTGTCACACCAGGACTCCAGTGAACCTGTAGGAAAAAAAAATTTAAGTGTACAGTTTGAGTATTGACAAATGTACACATAGTTGTGTGACCTCTGCCAAATTCATGATACAGAAAATTTCCCTAGCCTCCCGAATTTTCTCATGTCTTTTTGTAATCTGTTCCCTCCAACTCCCTCTGAAGCCTTAAATTGTTGACCTCCTTTTTCTTAACTGTAGTTTTGCTTTTCTAGACTGTCATATGACTAGAATCTTAAAATATATAGTCTTTTTATGCCTTTAATAATTTAGCATTATGCTTTTAAGATTCATTCATATCAGTGCTTCGAACCAAGGAAGTGTTGAATGAGTATGTTACATGTCTGTCAGTCTAAGTTAAATTTAAAAAATTAATTGTATCACACTGGCTCATGACATGAACTGCTGATGGATCTTATATGTTCAGTTTAGGTAAATCTCAGTTCTCTTGATGACATTTGACATGGGTAAAGGTGACTTGAAGGGAGCAAAAGACTAAGGATAACTCACAAGTAAAATACCATTTAATGAACATGACAGGGCTTCAAAATAATAGCTTGTTAAATTCAAATTATAATAGCAGGTTACTGCGATGGCAGTCAAAGGAACAGATTTTTTTAAAAAAATTTTTATTATGATTTGAGTGAAAGTTTACAGGGCAGATCATCAGTTTTATATTCAGCAAATCATATACTCTGCTTCATTACAATGATTCTAATGCCCTTCATGTGCCATCAGTTAGCAGTATTTCTCTCTACTCATTTTAACTCTTTTTTTTTTTTTTAAAACATTCAGGCATATATAATAATTTAAACCAACCACCAAAGGGCACATTTTGCAAGCCTGCCTCCTGGCTGCCAGCTCTCAGTCCCTCTCTTCCCATGAATCTAGAATTCTCAGCTGCTCCCTCTCTCCAAGTCCCCATCTCTGCCTCCATCTCTAGTGTCACTGCTTCTCTGGATAGGGTCCTGCATTCCACTTGTGCTCTTATCCCTTATTGATCCTAGGGTCATCTTTTTCTGGACTGTAAGATTAACTACTCACCTGTTTTTGTTTCAAAACTTCTACCTTTATGATTGTGACAGTCTTCAATTAGTCATGATAACAGTTACTCACTATTGAATTATAAGAATCTTATCCCCATCTCTTCACCAGTCCCATCTAGACAAGATGAAAACTAATCAGTGGGGACTCTTTCTTTCATAGAAGAACATTAGCTTTATATTCATTGTATCATAATTACAATATGATGAACTTGATCTATTTATAATCATTGTAATGATTATAATCCCCTCAGTGCATCATCAAACAACCAGAGGGTACACCTCGTAAGCCTGCCCCCTGGCTGTCAACACACAGACCCTCTCTTCCTGAGTCCAGAGTCCCTAGCCACTCCATCTCTCCATCATTGTCTCTGCCTCCATCTCTGGCATCACTGCTTCTCTGGATAGGGTCCCATACGCCACTCTTCTCCCTTGATGGTCCCAGGGACCTCCACTCTCCTCCTTTTGCTACAAAATGTCCACCTTTACATTTCCAACACTCACAGTGCAATTATTCACTATTGAACCACAAGAGTCTTACCCCATCTCCTTTCATCAGCCCTGTCCAGACAGATTGGAAACCACTCAATGTAGATTCTACCTTTCCCCCAGCATCCTCTGGAACTAGTCTCCCTCTTGAAAGCTTATAAGCCAGTAATTTTGAGTCTGTGTAGTCCCCCCATTTTGGGTAGCCAGTGTCTAAGTTGCTCATCTCTGTTCAACCCTGTATACCGAGGGGTGGGAATGATCCTCACTGTAAAGATTTGTTCCCTCTTTTGAGCTACTACATCCATAAGTGTAGGTCAGGTTCATCAAATTGTAGTGGATTACTCTTCTTCTTCTTCTTCTTCTTTTTTTTTTTTAAACTCTTCTTTCCTTTTCTAGTTGAGTATTGATCATCCAACCATTGAAGCCAGGTCAAGTGGATACTGTCTGCAGTTATGGGTGTTCTTGTACATCTCCCCTCACTTCATATCAGCTGGACACTTCACTCTCTGCTCTAGTCCTCTTCCCCACACACTCTTAAACTAAACTCCCTCTTTAAACCTTGTAAGCCAGTCACTTCGTGCCTTTAGCGCTCCTTATTTTAGTTAGCCAATGTCAAAGCTACCTGTCCCTATCTACTCTGTATACAGAGGGGACAGGATTGATACTTGATGTGAAGACTCCTATCCTCTCTGTTGGTATTTTGAGCTACTACATCCAAAGCCATTTGAACTGCAAGATCAGTGGTTCAAGCTCACCAGCTGCTCCTCAGAAACCCTATATAGGGTCGTTATGGGTCGGAACCGACTTGACGGCACTTAACAACAACAACACATCCATGCGTATAGGTCAAGTTCATCAAATTGTAGCAATTTACCCTCATTTCCTTTATAAAAAATTTTTTTTTTATCATCCTCTCTAATGGCGTTCTAAGGAGCTCTGTCTGGTAGTGTAGTGGTTACAAATAGGGCTATGAGCCTCAAGGTCAGCAGTTTGAAACTGCCAGCTGTTACATGGGAGAAAGATGAGGCTTTCTGTTCTGTAAAGATTTCCAGCCTTGGAAACCCTGTACCAGGGTTGCTGTGAGTCGGAACCGACTCCATGGCACATAACCACCACCACCAGTGGAGTTCTGATTATCAAGCCATCAAGGCTAGGTCAAATGGGTACTATCTGCAAGTTTGGATGTTTCATATCAGCTGGATGCTTCACTCACTCTAGCCCTCTGTGGCTATGTCCTTCATGGGCTCAGGTGTCCCCAGGTCTCATCACACTTTGGACCAACCTGCCCTTCCTCTTTTTCATCTCTAGGTTAACGAGAGTCTGTGGAACATGGTAGAACTTGGCCCATTTCTTCATTGCTGCCTTTCCGCCCCCTTCCACTCACCAATAGACCAGTGTGGTCGCCAGCAAGCTTACCTGCCTGCTCATGTGTTCCCTCTGAGTTTTAGTCTTAGAGGGGAGCTTGTCCCGAAGGGACTTGATTGCTTGCCTTGCTGGCTTCCTGGCAAACAGCTTTCTTATTCTTGTTTATTCTAGTAGCCAATCATACTGCCATTTTTGTTTTGGGTTTTTCCTGCTGCTGCTGCTGGTGGTGGTGCTGTGCCCTGGTTCTGACTCATAGAGACCCTATACAAGGTTTCTGAGGTTGTAAATCTTTACAGGAGCAGAAAGCCTCATCTTTCTCCCATGGAACAGTTGGTAGTTTTGAACTGCTGACCTTGAGGTTTACAGCCCAGTTCGTAATCACTACACTACCAGAGCTCCTTTCCTGCTGATAGGAACAGATAATTGCTTAAGCAAGTATTCTTTATATTCACCCCTATTGCAAACAACATTTGGGAATGAGAATTGCACCATAGACCATTATTTTTTCTGGTGATAGAGGCAGGGAATCTTGTAAGGAGACATAAAATCTGAAAATTGAGATCCCTGTAAAATACTAAGTCTATCATAACCTTGTGCTTCTTTTAAAAAAGAGGGGGGGGAGGGGGAGGCTTTTATTTCCATACTTTATGATTTGTGTTCCAAACTTACAAGTACGATAAAACAGCATCATCGCTGTACTAAAATGCCTGATTGTGTAGGTTAACTTCTGAGGAAGGAAATTAAGAAACAAACATGTACTACTCATTAAAAGATACCTAACATTTAGAATAATATACATATAATGGATCAAGATTCTACATAGTTTTTATTGCACTTCTAAAATACTAGATTTTACTGTTGCCATTTTGACTACTAATAAATTAATTTAAGATGAGTTCTTAGGCTTGCTTAATAGTAAGAGATATAGTATGATTTTCCTGCCTTGTGGTTCTCAGATGTCTCTACCCAGTTAACACATCTCAAGTTGTAGCTTCTTAGGTTAAAATAGCTCAGAAAACTGGCATCTGGTTGTAAAATATTACTGCAGGTAGGTCAGACTCTTGATTACAAAGCTTTATATAATTGGTTTTATTACTTCAGTCAACCTTTTTAGTATATCTTTTTAAAAAAGGTGTTTTTTTTTCCCCTCTGGCTTTTGAATTTTGGTGTAAACTTCAGCTGCAAATACGTCAACATCTTATCAGACAGTCCATTATAATTTGAAACATAACTTTAAAGAGCCTGGCCCAAGTATAACCTAATAGTTTGAAATATAAAAATAGTTCTGAATCTTTTTTGAAAAAATAATGAACTAAAGTTTTGCTTTAAAATAGTTTTTGTGGCTCTTAAGTATTTAAGAACTGTTTTCCTTTCTTACCATATTTACCTACTGAATTCTCAGCAAAACAAAAATGATTTGCTGTTTAAATCAAACATGCTTTCAAGAACTTAAAATACTTTAATGTAGAGATTCACATATATGCTTCTCTCTGACTTTGAAAGAGTGCTCCAAAAAGAGCTATATATTGGTAGGACAGAGAATATTGTGTCAGTTTTATTAATGGATAAAAGTTACATTTATGTTGAATACCTTTCTTTTCTTCCATTCTTAAGGAATTGAATGACCTGGCACGGGACCCCCCAGCACAGTGTTCAGCAGGTCCTGTTGGAGATGATAGTAAGTATTTAACAGGATTGACGGAATAAAATAGCAGAACAATCTGCTTCTGGGGAATTCTGAGACAAATAAATGATACATCTCTTAAGGTTATTTTAGGAGTCCAGGTGTGGCTCTGTGGATTAATGGGCTGGATTGCAAGCAAAGTCAATTTGAACCGCAAGGGAAATGGTTCAAGCTCACCAGCCATTCCTCAGAAACACTATATAGGGTCGCTATGGGTCGGAACTGATTCAGAGGCACTTAACAACAAGATTATTTTGGTGTGGCGCTGTAGGATCACCACTGAACTATAAACCACAAGGTCAGTAGTTCAAACCCACCAGATCCTACTCAGAAACCTATATAGGGTTGCTATACGTTGGAACCCAACTCAATGGCACTTTAAAACAACAATGTTATTTTGTGTATAGTTAACTATGTTATAGGGAGGAGGCAGTGTATACCCTTATTTGCCTGTGAAAGGTGTAATTCTGTATGCATCTCATTATCTTCTGTATTGCTTTATTTTGAACATTTTCTGCTATTCATTGTCTGTATATAATTGTCCTGGTCTTTTCCGACTTGTCCATCATATACTTTGGGTACTTTCCTATGGTATAACATTTGAATTTTTACCTGCTGTCCTTTAAGTAAAATAGCAGTAAATATAATGGGATGTGTGTGTGTGTTTTTCTACTGACTCGTACTGCAAGGCAGATATAATTTGTTTTTAATGTCCAATTCATTTTGTTAATCCTGAGTAAAATAATTTTTGTTAGATGATCTTAACTGCGCAGATTGGGTAATAATTTTCCTTTTGTTTCACTTTGTCTCAACATAACTTTTTCCCTAACTCTTCTAGATTTTTTTCAGAAAGATTGCTTTGTAACACAAAACTCATTCACACACAAAGAATTGTAACAGAAAAAAAAGGTATACTTGGAAATGTGTAAGACAGGTATATAATTTTAAGCAAAAATGTATTTGAAGTTCATGAATAACTATAGTACTATATAATATTTGGTGCCAAATAAGACAGGCCATAAAGTCTGGTGTGGCGCTGCAGTGTAACTGAGTGTAGTTTAAAATCTTAACTCTAATTAAAAGTGTTTAGAAGCTGGGACTAGATTTTTTTTTTACGTTCTCTTTAGTAAACTAATTTACCTTTGCTGTGCTTCCACCATATTATATTCCTTTTTCAAATAGAAATCTTTGTTATGCTGGAATATTAAGTAAAACTTTCTCTAAAACACAAGCAATAAAACAAAAAAATAGACAAATTGGACTTCAAAATTAAAAATGTGTCAAAGGATACCATGAAGAAAGTGAAAAGAAACCCACAGAATGAGAGAATTTTTAAAAAATGTTTTATTGTGAATTATATGATAGTTTACATGGCAGAACAGTAGTTTTACGTTGATTCTGTCATATATCGTTTCATTGCCATGGTTCCGATCCCCTCCATGCATCATCAACCAACCAAAGGGTATACCCTGAAAGCCTGCCCCCTACACTACCCCCACCCCCACCCCTGCCCAGTCTTTTACAGTCACTCTCCCTCTCTGAATCTAAAGTCCCCAGCTGCTCCATCGCTCCACGTTATCTTCTCTGCCTCCATCTCAGGCATCACTGCTTCTGTGGGTAGGGTCCCACTCTCAGCTCTTCTCCGTTGATGGTCGTAGGGATCTCCAATCCTAGACTGGAAAGTTAATCATTCCCTTCCTTGCTATAAAATGTCTACCTTTACATTTCCAACCCTCATAATCAGTCCTGATAACAATTATTCACTATTGTATCACAAGAGACCCATCTGCCTTTCATTCCATCAGCTC